CGTTCACTCTCAAAATGAGGTTATACAGAAACACCAGTTATTTTGATGGCAAGTTTGAAGTGTGGTATACATAACGCGTACACAGAGGACACACTGCAAGAGGAGTATTTTTCAATGGAGAATTTGGGAATTAATACCTACCATGGTAATGTCTCCTATACACACTTTTTTTTTTCGGCAAAGTCTGCAGGCAGAAGCATGGGACTCGGAAAAGTGCGACGCAAATATATAATTTATTTTTCAGCTTTCACACGCATTTTATTATCGCGCACAATGAAATGAACAATGCGTGGCACTTTAGTCAGGCACAATTTTTTTTCTCTTGCACACAATGACATCATTCCACTATACAAATAATGCACGTACGCTCACTAGAAGTGTACACGTCCTAACGAAGTGTGACAGCACGCGTGGTTGACTATTGCGTAAAAAAAAGCAGAAAGAAAACCGTGAACGCAGTTGTTTTTGCGAAGCTTGGCAGCGGTCTGCAACTGCAGGGCCGAAGTGTTCACCTTTAGTAATTATAAATACTCAAGTCGTACGGGAGTAGAAGGAAGAATTCTTCAAAATGTGCACTCTTCGCATGTGCTTCCTATGCGTTTCTTTTCCATGACAGCAAGGAAGGTACACATGTAACTAACCTACCACTGCCGCGAGTTCACTAAATTCACACATATAGTGCTACGCGTGTGTACATGTCAATCAGTGAACATTAATCTTCTCTTGTAAGCAGTGTACGAGCACAATAGAAAGAACACACATTCTGAGCGTTAAGAGATCATCCAGAACGCTATATTTAACTACATCAATCCTCACGTGCAACGTAGTCAAGAAAACGTTCAGTTCGCGGTTATCGTTGTATTTCCCACCCCAAAGGCTAGTTCACTGACCTTATAAATGCGTAAGCGTTCTCCATTTTGTACAAATGGGACAGGGACGTGGATCCCATGCGTCGGAGAGTATGATTTGATTGTTTCTGTAGTACAAAAAACAAATCAATTGCGAGATCTAGTCTTCAGGTGCGCCAATGGACGGCTGTAAGAAATGACAATCGGTTTCGAGTCTGCGATTCGGACGGTATGATTGCCAAGGCCATCCGGTCTTGACATCAAATGTTACGCACTCGCAAAATACACCTATCCACCCAAGACAAAAGTCGTGTCGCATAAGTTTCAGCACGGTCGAATGTACGCACCGTTTTATTTCTTTTAAGAACTATACTTGCTCATTCTGGAAGACAAAACAACAGATAAACATCACTGCGGAACAATTCCCCGCAGTTGGTTTGTTCTATTTCACTCTGCTGTTCGACAACGCACCACCTATATATATGAACTACAACTCCAAGAAGGATGAAAAATGCACAATGGAATCGAACAACCGAAAGCTGTTTATGTGGTCTATGACGCGGTGGTGGTCCCATGGGTAAATCCTGATTGCACCATGTCATTTGCAATGCAATTGAATTTGAAATAAAATTGAATATCTCGTGATTTAGAGTTTGCCCACTGTTCAAAAGCAGACCCGACTGACGGGGTTTAAGCTCAACAGCGTTTTTCTAGTCGTAAAAAACAAGGAAGCACACATGACTCACCTAACAATTTTTTTTACATTGTTGAAAATGTAAACTACAATCAGGCATTTGTTGCTAAATAATACATCCAGACGACTTTTTCTCGCTTTAGAAGATTATATAGATTGAAAGTGTGGTTGTGGCTGTAGCTTTCGTTGTCAGAACCGGACAAAAACATCTTCCCTGCACAAGTTAATGTGCAAATTCCTTAACGGACGCTATGTTCACTCTCCACTTTGACTGAACTAAATCTATATCCACCAGAATTGGAGACACTAGAGCCGCTGAAACTAATTACGAACAGCGTGCCGACATGTAGAATTAACGTAGAGCAACTTCAATGCGTTAGTCATGTGTGTCCAGTGCTTATCGTATTTGCCACGTTCGCCATCACATATAGCCAGAACGAAGCCTAGATAAGGAAGGAGAATGACAGACGTTAAAACAAACCAGTGAGATCCGTCCTGTCAACTCTGTCTGTAGTCTTAATTGCACTTGCACCGCTTGAACAACGCCACCTGCTGCCTCGATCTTTTCTTTAATTCATGCCCTTGAGATAAAGAAGAAAAAAGCTCAACTATTATCAACTGTATTTTCTTTTGTTCTAAATGTACAAAAAAAGATAGTTCACTATGTTCGTTGTCTCAAGCTTACTAAACTTGTCAACTAGTATTGCCTCAGTTAGGCTCATTCTAAGAAGCTACGCATTTTCATCAAGCAACGCACCATTCGCAACAAACAACACCAACCCCTTATCTCGTTTTCATCTTCGAATGCTTATCTAGAATTATTTTGGTCTGACACTCAGTATTTACAACTATGCCCCCATTTGAACTACTTCAGTCTTACACACTCTCAAGTCTTATATTTCAAAAAAAAAATTGACGGCAGATCCACGAGGGAAATGATGATGGGATACCGTGAAATTTTCTTTCGTTAATTCATCCGATAAAACCATTGCTTTAGAAAACACCTGGCGTCTTTTGTTAAGCAGCTGACGTCTTCTTTTTGTTTTGCTTTGGACACATCTGGCGTCTTTTTGTTTTGCTTTTAGAAGACATCTGGCGTCTTTCGTTGGTTTATTTCATCAATCAACGGCGTTTTGAACAAATTTTTTTATTGTTTAATCACGCGCAGGAGAAATCTCACCAGGCACTACCTTGGAGGTAAACAATGGCTGCTACTGGGAATGAGAGACAGCAGAAGCCGGCTTTTAAGACTTGTACTTCTACTAACGTTTCCTACTGGAACATGCCAATGGCTGCTAATGGGGAATGAGAGACAGGAGCATTTGGTTTTTAGTTAACGTGCACGCCGCAAACTTTTTATTGTTTAACAAAGCACAGGAGAAATCTCCTACCGGCACCACCTTGCAGGTCAAATTGTAACACTTGTTACACTCTACGACTACGACTACGAGGGACGAACGGGTGCCACTTTGAGGAGCTTCGCCCCTAAAATTTGTTCTGTTTTGTTTTGGTAGCATGTGCACGCTAACCTAAGCACCCACACTGCTGGGTCGAAACCACATAACATGCGGCGACTGCACCTCACTCTATGCAAGCATGCGTACGTGGCGATGAGCCAGTGGTTTCCCTCAACTATTAGCAGCAAAAACTGAATGGGCCACTGACTGTTGTGGATGAGCTCTGAACTACGTGTATACTGGAACAAAGCGATTAAGGGTAAACAGGCTGTTTCAACGCTGGCGTTGGTAACACGAATTTACCCTGATGAATATTTCTTCAAGATTTACACCAACACGTCATTTTCTATAGTAAAAAGTGTTAGTCAGAGATGGGCCACCGCTGCTAACTTCCTCAGTCAAACTGCACCCTTCACGCACATACGCATCGCAAGATGCACGAATAGCAAAGCCTTTAACCATTCTGTAAAAATAGTTATAGAACAGTTTTTCTCAGTCGTCACTGGCCTCAATCACTCTTATTAGGCGTGAATGTTAGCGCATTGCTCTCTCTCCTTTTCATCCTTTTCATTTTACTCCTTACCACGCTTCCCCCCTGCGCAATGTATATGTGATCAACGAATGACGACTGCCGTCAACAACGTCGGACGGCCTGTCAAAACCAAGCGTAACCCATGTTTCAAGTGGATGTGGTAAAAATGAAGCGTATTAATTTACATAATCAAATATTCCCCAAAAATACTCTTGCTCTCAAGAAGAGTGACGCCATGTAGGGTTTAGGATATCTTCAAAGCTGGCGTTCCCATTGTGGGAGATAGGGCTTTGAGCGATTAAGGGGGGAGGAGACCAGTGAAAGCCAGCAGATAGTATAGAAGAAAATCCACATGTCGATATCAGTGTACGTGGTGGTTAAGCGGCAGAACGCCTACCTCCCATTCGGGAAGTACTGGGTTCGATTGCCGATGAAACCGGATACTGGCGAATTTTTTTAATAATAACTGGGCAGATTTCGCGTCCCACAACTACGATAAGAATACGGGAGACGCCGTAGTGAAAGGATCCAAAAACGTTTAATTCCTTGGTTTTTTTTAACGTGCGCCTAAATCTAACCACATGTGCCTTTAGCATGTCGCCTGAATCAGAATGTGACCGCCGCGTTTGGGCTTCCATCCCGGGACCCTCGGGTCAGCAGTCGAACGCCATAACAATTAGACCACCGCTACAACGAGTCTGACTGTTGTTGTTTTTTTAAGACGATAGTCTTTCTTGGGGACCTTCGACGCAAAAACTTTGGTCTGCCTGTACATTTGTCTGTTTGTCCATCCTTACCGTGAACTGGGTACTCTAAACAGCACCAGCCGATACCCCGAACGGCCGACCCCATCCGCAGCGCCCACCAATGTTGCTCAAGGTTCAGCGTTCATACTTGTGCGATTGTCAATTAAAAAGCAATTATTGCGCATAACTGAGGCACCATAACAACACGTATATATTCTGCATGTGCGTCTTTTACTAGAAAAGGCACACATAAGTAATTCTAAGGACCGTAGCGTTTATCAAGCTGCAATGACCATGCAACGCTTGCACGAAGAAGCCAGTGTTTCCAACGCTTTGCTAAGACGACGCGGTGGTGGCACCTACCCGTCACCTTGCGTTTTTCACCTTATAACCTCTGAGACGGGCGCGCACGCCCGTCTCAGGGCCACGTGATTCGTTAAAAAAAACTGTCAGATGGCACTCATGTCTCACGTGTGACGTGATTTGATGCACTCGTTAGTTATAGCGCGAGAACAAAACGACGACAAAGAGATACGAAGGACACTAGCGCTATAACTTCCAACTTGTGAGCCTCCGCTGCACGCTCGAGGCGCAGCGCCTCCGGAATACTATTCACGAATTTTCTTGCGCAGAACATCAAATAAATGTTTTATTCACTCTCTCCACACGCAATGATATCGTCTTTCGATGACATTTGCAGATTACATGCAGATACGGGGCCAATTTTTTTTTTGTCTTCTTATCAGAGAGTTAACCCGGCTTGGCACTCTCGGGTGCGGGTACTCATCTCGACAAGGTGGCCTCTCATATCCGTTTTCCCTTAAATTTCCCTCTGCTCACTACGCATTTCACAACAAATTGCTTCGTTTACAGAACTTGCTGTCCGGGAGAGACTACTGCCGCATTACATCGTTCTGTACAGCGCCAGTTTGTCTGAAATCATTGTGGCACATGCCGCCAGTATTTCCCGCCTGCCACAGGAAAAAAAAAATAGTACCGTGGCAAAAATAACAGTTGGGCAACTGAGAGAAGCTAAAGGCCAGTTTTTTCTCGAATCCAAATAAAAACATGATTTTATGGCATTCGAATTGCTAGGCTATGCAAATTTCGCCCTTGCAGCGTCGTTCCAGCAGTCAGGTAAGCTTTCATGACACCACAATTAGCGGAAAAGCCGCTCGGTTATGTGGGCGTGTCCGTCTTGGTAACACTTACGAGAAGCACCACTCGAACAATTGCCGTAGGAGACCGCGTATTGGCGAATTACCATCGCCGTCTATCACGCGAAGACACCTTTCGTACGAACAACAACAATGACAAAATAAACACCGCGCCAAGGCAGTCACTGATGAAATCCTTAAATATATGCAGTTCAGGTTTTCTTTTCCTCCTGCCAGTGTGGAGGTTATCACACGCAGTAGAAGTTGGCAGGCAGCTTGCACAAAGATTGCGTCAGTCTATACACAATGGAAGCTGCCCTGCAATACGGTTGAAACAGCGCTGCTTAGCAACGCTTTGCGCTCGTTCACAGGCTCGCACTTCCGCCAGGACTCATGGTTGCGACGTTGAGTGACTTGATGCCGCAGCGCTGCACTCCTCCCGATGTCAGCTGGACATCTCCAGAGAGTCCTGCGCAGCAAAACAACAGGCGATTACGTAAGACCACCTTATTACCAGCGTAATCGCGAAGTATGTGCACCTGCTATTAAAACCAATAAGAACCACATAAAAAATCCAATGTACGATGCATACCCAGAGGTGACGGCCGATGTGGCTTTTCACTTATAACCATTCATTGTATCACGAAGTTGTATCGCAGGCAGCTCTGGTTGTCGTCATCCACTAAGCAGCTGCAGGTCCCTAACAGAGCAGCCGCTAAAACGTCGAACCGTACCTCTGTGATGTGCAGCACACGCTGCAATAACCAAAACCTGCAGGCCGTTATATACCTACAACTCCACAATGTGGTGTTCGAACTCGACACAACTTGCGCATCTCCGGCGTACATCACCGTCATCACGGCAACGTGTGCAGGCGCGCAAGTGTGTGCATTTACAAGCGTCATTATGATGTCCATTGATGCCCCGGCATCTTGTACCTGGCTGGCTTACTGGCTGTCGTTGTCATAATCAAAGGCTGACATCGGGCAACAGAGACTGCCATGCAACTTGTACTCTATCAACCGTGACCAACATTCTCCTATGTACGCTCTTTGGTCGCCTGTGTACCCTCTTTAGTAGTCATATGAACTGAAAGGTTCATATGATGACTAAAGAGGGTACACAGGCAGCTGCTAAGCAAGACAGACCGATTTCGCATATACTAGCTCACTTATCCACCATTGAAGCAGCGCTCTAAATGAAAGCATTTTTAGATAATACATCAAGCGAACAACTCACGAGCGCGATCAGTCATGGAATGCCTTTTGACATACAAAGCCGTTAAAACAAAGACAGCACTGTCGCTTACGCACTCTATAACTGTCGTAAGTGTACATTGAGAGCGATGGCACAAAGAGCGTATGCGAAATAATGAAAACACGTGAGCACGAATTTGCTTTCATCATGCTGTGGTTATTTTGATGATGAACACCAACGCAACGTCTAATCTAAGTCCGAGGCTCTGACGAGCCAAAATCTCGATATGATAATTAGGCATGCCACAGCGAGAGACGCCGAAACCACCTTGGGTTGTTTGATGTGCACCTAAACCTAACTACGCGGGTGTTCTTTCGTTTCACCCCCATCTAAATGCGGCCGCCAGAAATCGAGCCGGCATACTCGAGTTTACCAACGTGGCCCCCGCGGTGGTACTGGGGTATACATTGCTCGACTGCTGACTCGAAAGACGCCGAAAATGTTAGAGGCCCGTGTGCTTAGAATGAGGTGCACACGAAAGAACCCCAGGTGGATAACAAACACACACGGCGTGCCTCATAATGATATCGTGGTTTTGGCACGTAAAACCCAGGACATTGTGTTGGAGCTTTGCAACGTAACACCCTATACCTGCTAAGCCACCACGGTCGACGTCTCATGTATCCGTGCCCTTGTATCTAGGAAATTCACGCTGCTTTTGTATAAGTTTTACGTTACCCGAAGTTCCAGTTCAAGCATTTCACACGCAACGAAGAAAAAAGAAGGAATGAAAGAAAAGCAGACAATTTAAATTGCCGCCAATGAAATGAAATTACAAGAAAATTCGATGGCATCCCATCGGTCATCGAATAGGGCGCGGAGGCATATTGTGCGGTCAGAGACACAAGTGAGCCCAAAGACAGCGCCCTGCGCGAACGAGCCCAGCAGACCGAAGGGGACGCGCCGAGTGCAGAGAGAAAGGCGCTTGCGGGAGGCGTATCTTGAAACGGCAATAATCGCGGCACACTGCTCAAGAAGCACTAAGAGCAGTTACAGGAACATTGGCTTCCAGAACAGGATAAAAAAATGAAGTAAAAAAGGCACCAAGCCTTTTTTTTTACTTCATTTTTACTTCACGCCACTTTTTTTATGTTTGTGTCCTCGTCCACTCCAACGAGCCGCGGCAGTGAAGTCGGGGCCTGCCCTGGCTGGCCATTTCGTTCATTTCTTCCTCTTTAAGCTCATTCGTTGTTCGTCCTGTTATTTTTTTTTTTTGATCATTTTGTTTCTCTCGCCGCCGCGACTCGTGGCGCGTTCCACAGCCGCCGCGCATTCTCCAGCCGCCCGCGGGAGGAAGAAGAGTCTCCGGAACAGGTGTGCGTGTTCAGCAAGTGCACACCCGACAGCGGCCTCCCTTCTCCTCTCAAGCGATGCCTGGATCTTCCCCCTCGCCGTCACGGCTCGTGAGGCGGGCCCGGTCGGGCGCCCGCTTTGAACAGCTGGCTCGTTTGCACTTGGCCACGGCGGCGGCTACAGCAGACTCGATGGTGGGCCCTGCGCCTGTGCTCACCACGCGGGCATCTTATTGCTCGACGGGACCACGTGACTTTTTTTCATGTTTGTGTCTCTCTTCTTTCATACACGTCACCATCTTTTTTGCCTTCCCTCTAGTGGCACCGAACGCCGGACAGTTTGTGTTATGGTGCACGGCGCCTGCCTCTGGGTAGCGTGATTGCGAATTTTGCGAGGGGTCCGATTCCATTACGAAGATCAGTATATCTGAACGGCCATGGCCAACAATTTTGTCTGATCCTCAGCGCGCGTCAATATCGGTGCACTATTTATAAACTACATGTTTGTTTCCTCGTCACTCGAACCCGTCACTCGAACGATGCGTCGCGGACTTTTAGTCACGCAAAAGTGCAAACATCCTCGAAAGCGATCGACCGAAAGCACGGCAATCAAGCCAAATTATTTGCGCTGCAGGACTGGGGCTCAGCACATGTGCCTCCTAATAAACTGCGGTTCGTATGCATGCATGGGCGTTCATTCCAGACTAAGGTACTTCATTTCCTGTCAGGTAGAAGAGTGCGTCATATTTTTATCAGTGAGACGTGCACATGTGGAGCGCACAAGAAGCGATTGAAGAGCTCACGAAAACGGTTAGATACCAGCCCCTGTATGGCACAAGTTTACACCGGAAGGCACAAGCTCACATTGCCTCACGGACGCGGGCATAATGCGATAACGTCATCGATAGTATCAGGGCAGAGCTTCGTGCAGTAGCGGTTAAGGTTACGAGACAAATAAAGTGCCAAGGCACACGCTCAAAGAGTCGGGCCGCCAAGTCACAGCCATCGGCATTTTATTATTACGGTGCCTCGTGAATTCGTAGTGAATCGGCCCATTGAAGTCGACAATATAACTAAAGACTAACAGATAGATGAACATAGGAAGAAATGAAAACAAGAAAGGATATTAAGCACTGCAAAAATTATTACCTTCCTAAGCTTCGCCCTTGAGAGTTGAACGTGGTAGCGTTATTGGGCCTACAATTCACGGACATTTACAACGCCGCGAACACTGTAAAAACTGTGGAGGGTATCGCAGGAGTAAAAAGGCCAAGTTACTCTTCAGCGTGTTCGTCTACTCTCGCAAAGCATCAGATAGAGTGAAATTCATTTTCACTCTGTATGAAACGAGAGAGTGAAACTGCTTTCTACTCTTCCTCTCTTTGGGAGAGTGAAATGGCCATATACTCAGTGGCGTAACTAGGGGGGGGCAAGGGGGTACAAGTGCCCCGGGCGCCACTAGGGAGGGGGCGCCAAGCCGAGTCCTCGGGTTGGCGCCCCCTGGAAAGGTTGTCAATGTTTTTTTCCGTAAAACCGCCTGGAAGGGGGGAGGGGCGAGGTTGTAATGTACGACTGGAAGTGGGGATGGTGGTGAAGGAAAGGGTTGCCGCAATGGCTTTTGCATCGGGAAAAGGATCCTCTATTTTCATTTTGCTGCGCTACCTCCGTGCCTTCCCATGACCCTCGGCTAAGCTTTGTTTTGTGCTCCGCAGCACTGGGTTAGATGAGTTTCAGCGAACCCCACCAGCCTCCCAAACCACTTACTGAAAGCTTCCCTGAAACCAACCACGTACGTAAACAAAATAAAATAAAAAAGTTCGAATGCACCTTTTTTGAGTAAGAACAGAAAACTCCAACGAAATAGCCGATCGTCCAACGACTAATCGTCCACGCAGCGGCGGAAGGAAGGGCGAATATAATCCGTGACCTCGGCACCAAAGGCTAAACAAAGGCGTTTATTCGCAGAGTTCTCTGGAGGAAAGACGGAGAAAGCGTGACACGACGGCGACGTTTGTTGATTCCCTGCATCGCGGGCGCCAGCAAAGCAATAGAAGGGCGGGGGTCAACGTTTCCCACATGCCATCCACCGCCATGGGCAGGTTCATCCTTTGGCCCAAAGAACACGCACCTGCGAAAAAAGCGCAGAGCGTAGTGTACCCGACAGCATGTGCCGACTGCCCCGCTTCGTACGTTGGAGAAACCAAGAACTTCCCTGAAAGAATGCGGCCGCACAAGGATGACCTCCATCAATGGAACAGCGAACGGAGCGAAACGGCAGAACACTCCGACCAGTTTAACCCCCATACCAGACCCGAGGGCGCGGTGTCTAGCTGGTTGCTTTGTTTTGTACTCACCCTGCATTCCTTGGGATGCACAAATAGCGCGAAAGCTTAGGTACGAGAAACTTGGGCCTGGGAAGCGCCCGTGCCGTCAAGATTTTTGCAGTGTGGACTGGAAGAGAACAATGACGGGTAAGGGACTTCCGGAAGTTTGAATAAAAAAAGAAAAATACTATACAAAAACGCGGGCGTAGCTCATCGAAATCAGAACTGGTGGCCCTTGGCCTCCGAAATGGCCCGCCGCGCGCCAGTAGGCAATCGCGGAAGCCTACATTATCGCTAATAATAATAATAATATAATAATAATAATAATATTATTTAATATTATTATTATTATTATTATTAATATTATTAATATTATTATTATTATTATAATTAATATTATTATTATTATTATTATTATATAATAATAATAATAATAATAATAATAATAACAAACATTATCACGGGCATAATGAGGGGCGCGGAAATATATTTGCCCTGGGCGCCGTCCTATCTAGTTACGCCACTGCATATACTCTTTAGGCATGAGAGAGTAACACGCAGTCGCAGTCTTGCTCTTGATTACTTTTAGTTGTGTA